TCTCGAAAGTACGTAGGATTTCGGTAGTATCTGTATCCAGCAAAAATGATTGTAATTGACCCCCGCAACTAAAAATAATTTTTCCAAAACGATTTGAAATTTTCTATTTTTGTCGAAAAATTTAGGCATCTACCCCCTGTCGATTTTTCATAAAAATTAGTTTTTCATTTTTAATAAATTTGTTTGATGCCCTACAGAAAAATTGTCTAATACTTTTTTGTAGGTACCTATGAGCTCTACTTCAGAAATAAATTTCATTAAAATATATTCACTATTGTAGGAGTTATGGTCGTTTGAAAATTGGACCATTTTTATGGGGTTTTTCTCATCTTGCGGGGTCGAGGATCCAGTTTTTGAATATTTTTACGATTTCTACATATTCTTCGCCTAAATACGCGTTGTTTGCCTTTCGTAACATTAAAATCGTCCCATCCGTTCAGGAATTATGATGTTTTAAGGAGCCATTTCTGGCCTCACATTAGATTTTCGGTAATGAATTTTTTTCTCGAAAGTGCGTAGAATTTCGGGGATATGTGTATTGACCAAAAATGATTGTAATTGACCCCTGCAACCAAAAATAATTTTTTTAGAACGATTTGAAATTTTTTAATTTAATTTATTAATAACTTTTTAACGAAGCTTCAATCAACAAATTGATATTTTTGATTTTCGTCTTATTTTGGCCTCTAGAATCTCCCATCAAAAATTTTTCCCAGGGTTGGCCGAACATCCTGTATGGAGCACTCTTGCTCAAAATCTAAATTGTATATACATATACATATATGTGCACACATATTTATAAACGTACGCCAATTCAGAAAATATATATTCTTCTTATCAGTCGAAACCTGAATTTTCTGAAACAAAATCTTCCCGGCGTATTTGCATATTTACAATTACCTTTTTCATAGATCAGAAAATAAGGAAGCCATGTTTTGGCTCGCTATAATATTTACCATTGGATAAACATTCCATATATAATCTTTCTCATCTCACGGAATTGCATACTCTGAACCATGAAGATAAGTAAAAGATTATTGCTAAAACTGCCAACAATTATAATATATTTATTTGTACCAAAAAAATTGAAAATGGATATTCAAAAAAATATATAATTCAATAAAAATAAATGTTCATTCATTCTCTCGTAGAAAACTAAAATTTTCAAAAATCCAGTCGATCAAATTTGTTGAAATTTTTATTAGAAATTACAAATTTTGACCGTTTCGTTAGTTCCACTGTTAGATGCTCGAAATAGTCACTTTGTTGGCATGGAATTATTAAGGGTCTCTGTAGGGGAGTAGCATAAGGCGTGAAATCCGATCGACTAAGGCCAAGTATGGGCCAGGAATTGCGGGTGTTGGGTGGGCCGTACGCGTGTCGGTTTCTATTTTCAGCCGGGGAATATTTTTATCCGACTGTGCTGTAAAGCCAGTATGTACAATACGCTTCTTCGTCTCCGCGTCGCCTTCTTCATTTTTTTTTTTTTCTACATCGTATTTCCGCTGGTCTACGAGTTACGTCTGCCTTTGATACCGCGTCATCGGCGTCGTTCGTCGAACCGTATTTTCGGTTAAATAATCGTACCGCCCGGGTTCCTTCGCCTCTCACGCGACTACTGGTTATCAATTTATCGTTATTACGCTCTCTTAAATGTATCTCTCTCTTAACTACAGAGGATGCTGATAAATCGACGCAACTCGCGCGGACGATCTTTGAACACGCTTTTCGTCGAATTAAAAATACCAGATCTACAAATTGATTCTCGACCGTATCGAATCGCTCAAAATATCTATTCAAACCGAACTTTTTCCCCCTCTTTTGCTCAGACAGCTGCCTGGGAATCGATAGAAACAATAATACCCAGACACTCGTAAAGATTATTTTTATACTTAAAATCTTAATTGGCTATTCTGAAATATACCACAGGATGAAAATTAATTTGTGGACAAACTCTCACTTGGAATTAATTATTCATTTTCGCTGTGAGACGTATTCGAGATGGCAGAATATATTTAAGTACAGTTTATTATTTATCATCTGCTTGCATCGCACGGTGGATGATGTTTTGGTGAACAGTTTCGTTCGCGTGGGAACGTTCAAAAAACCGTTATTCTAATCTACCCCTCCGAATGTAGGGAGTCGGTTTTTACCAGATGCAGCTGGCACCTAACGGACGGGCCTAAAAGATCTCCCTGTATGGACATTTGTAGAACATCCCCCCCTCCCCTCCTCGTTTTTGAACATATATAAGTTCATTGCTTTCGACCCAGTGGGGCTCAGAATCGTCTAGTAAAAACTTGTAACGCGTTCGTTAGAATCGGGTACAAGTTCCCTTGCCAATTATTAGTTAACCTTATAGAATCGACGAGTTTGGCATAAATACTATTACAGGGAATTTTTTCTAATCACTGTGCATCAACGTCGAGCAACCCACATGGTAATTAAACCAATTTTTCATCGCAACACTAAACATTTGCACCTCAAAGACCTACGATACACGGTACAATTTGTCGAGATAGAATAATTTTAATTTTGAAACCCATCCTCGTAATCACAGTAGAATAATTTATCCAACCACTCGAGTTGTATCAAATTTAAAATATTAAAGTTACGAGACTGAACCTTACCCGAAAAAAATTAGATTTTTACACGATTTTTCCAAGATTAATGTAACCCAAACTACAAGGTTCGTATCCAAATTAATATCATATCTAGAATTACTACACTTGTCACCATATATGTAATATTTCTTTCCTATCACAAGACGAAGATACATTTTCATAGTTTGTACAATGATTTTGAGTTATAGTAGAACCTCAAACTATAATGGATCTGCCATTAACGTCTGCCATGTCAGTTGTCTAGAGACGTATGTACATATGTTGAAATTGTAATGTCAAGACTAGAGATGTTCGACGATCCAATGGTGTATTTATCATTTAATAGCATTCCCGATCCCCGGTAGAGTTATTTAAAATTACCATCAGAATTCTTTTATTATAAATAACTTTAAAACGCCGCGACAACATATTAAACGTTTCGATAGAAGAAACTATATATAATGGAGGTTCTGTCGCAATTTTTCCCCATTTGTTCGTACAGTTTCACGGGTGTATATCGCTCGTTTACGACCTTTCTCGCGCGTAACCGCCCCGCGTTTATTATTACGCTTAAAGAAGACGCGACCGACACGGGACTATTTATAAGTCAAGCATCGACGTTTCGATGTGCTTAAAAGAGCATTATGAGAAATTATACGTGACAGGTGCGTAGAGGCGACGCACCGAGGCATTCCAAAGGCGATCGCGTAACGTAATGGCAGTCGCGTTACCTTTTATACGATTTCGAAGCCTTGGACGTTGTCTGGTGTTGCCCACACGGGCCCCGGCGATGGTGTAACGGCCCGCCATACTCGTTTCCACGATTTGCATGTGGGCATTTGTTTCAGTTTCTTCCATTTCTCACGCCCGTTTGTCCCCGCGAGGCGCGCTGCACGGAGAGGCGCGCATAGAAAACGCTCGTCTCCCGTTCCCCGTTAATCCGGCAATGTTTCATTAGCGAGAAGGTTATGAATATTCCGCAACATACAGGTTTCCACCGCGAGCAAAAGTCACTGCGGCGGATGTACCCACGCGCAACCTTTCCTGTTGGACCTATATGCATACGCTTATCGACGATTCCTCGAAACGGAAAGTCGAAATTCTGTGGGAACACTCTCTCCATTCGAATACACTGGACTCTCCTGTGCACAGTCTACGTTTCATTGGAAAATTTATCAGTCACTTGGGTCTTTTTTTTATCTTCTATCCCAGATAAACGAATCTTTCTATATTTTAACATGCGACGAAGTTGGGAAGACTTCACGTAAAATTACATGGAAAATTATTTTCGTCTATTAGATGGGAATCCAGACTGTTACATTTGTAATAAAACCTTAAGATTTTAATTTCTTAAATAAATAGAGAATCTTCTGAAGCAGCACACCTAATCCACGGACTGGAGGGAAACTAACGAAATCGTGCGTTACACTTCCCAGCGCACAATCTGTGTTTCGTTGGAAAATTTATCAGTCAATTAGGTCTTTTTTTATCTTCTATCCCAGATAAACGAATCTTTTTATATTTTAACACGCGACGTACTTGGGAAGACTTCACGTAAAATTACATAGAAAATTCTTTTCGTCTATTAGATAGGAATCCAAACTGATACATTTATAATAAACAGAGAAGATTAGATAAGATTTAAGATTTTTAAATTTCTTAAATAAGATAAGATTTTAATTTCTTAAATAAACAATCCATTACATAAACAGAATTTTCTGAAGCAGCCACTGCAACAAAATGCAGTTTGTATAATTTTTACTTATATCCTTGTAGTAAATACAGTAAAGAACTTCTTTTTAATAGAGCTCCTATAAAACTTAGTTACTTTCCTAATTGTCTGGAAAATTCAAAAGTATTCGAATTGTACGTTCAATACTAGAACTACCGACAATTATAGTGTGTTTATTTGTACCAAGGAAATTGAAACGATAGGTGCGTGAAGAAATGTATAATGCAATGGAAATAAGTGTTTATTCATTCTCATATAGAAAATTACGGTAAATTTTCAAAAATTCTGTCGAATAAATTTTGTACAGGTTTTATTAGAAATTACAAATGGGTCATTTTGACTGGTTTGGCAGTTCTAGTGTTAAATCATGGAAACGTTCGAATACTCAAAATACAGAAAAATTGTGTTTCCTCGACGGTTCTCGGTTTAAAAATGCAGTCTTATTTCCGTCCGACGCGATGGCAGTAAAAAGCTCCCTCGTAGATCGTTAGCGTTCCGTAACACGTTTTTATCTTTGTAAAAACATTTTCTCCGCCGTTTGCATCCAAAGTCGCCGTACGGGAAACGGAAAGTATCGAAGTTTGATCTCTTCTTTAGAGCCGATTCGGCGTGTTATTGGCTCGACCTCTCCGTGATAACCGTATGGGGTATTTTTTATGTTTCAGGGGGCACTATGCAGACCGAGGAAGTCGTACCTCGCGCACAATCTACTGGTATAGACGGTGTCCCCACAGACAGCACCTCTTTGCAGCATCATCTGCATCACTCGTCGCATATAAAGTGTCCGTTGCCACCTCTGCTCCACATGGCGGTCAAGCAGGAGCCTCAGGAGGAGGAGGAACGGAGTCGTGACACGAATGCGTTGAGGTAAGCCTACGATTATGCTAAACGACGTTTACCATCTGTTAATTGCTTATCCTTATAACGCTTTCTCTTGTTCACTATACGCTGGTTCGATGAAATTTTTTCTTTAATTAAAATACCACCGTGGAAAATATCATTTCCAGTCAAGGTTTACACCAGGTGATCCTAAGAAGGGGGTCAAACGATTTTTAATAGCAACGTTTAACTATTTTAAAAGCTTTTGTCCCAACCTGTATATTTCCCGTCTTAACACTTTGACGGCCGCTGTCACGTATATGTGACTTTGAGAGCCAGCAGACGTCGGCCACTGTCACGTGCGCGTGATCTACTGTATCAGTTACCTTTTCATCGTACATTCAACTTATTACGTTTGTTGAGGTTACATTTATATTTCCTTATAATAATATTAATGTGTTAACCATACGCTGGTTCGATGAAATTTGTGTTTTGAATTAAAATATCACCGTGGAAAATATAATTTCCAGTCGACGTTTCCATCAGGTGATCCTAAGAAGGGGGTCAAACAATTTTTAGACGCGCAATACAAAAGTTTATTTTCGTTGTAATAGCAACGTTTAATTATTTTACTATTTACTTAACGCGAGGCAAAACAAAAAGCTATATTTCATAGTGGGCAAAGTTTTTGTCCCAACCTGTATATTTCTCAAGTCTCGATCCGCTTTTTCCGACAACTCTGTATAATTGTGTTTTGCCTAACTGTTCTTCGGCTTACGAGAACGGTATTAATATTCCACCGTGTAAATGTCCATTTCGAGAGATTAATGAGTCAATGTCGTGTTACGTGTAAATCATGGGAAAGATATCGATTATTATTATCGGTCACGATGCATCTTAACGAGTTCCTGCAGTTTGTAATAGTGCGTAACGAAGCATTAGGTGTGTCACGTGCATACACAAGTTTACACGTAGCTTATACACTTCATCACTTATATGAAGTTTAATTTCGTTATAAAATTAAAAAACATTCGATAACGGTTTTCCGTAGTTGAACAAAAACTACCGTTTACAGTTATTATTTTTAATTTCTGCTATTAAGACCCCTTTTTTAGATGACCTCTGAACACCTTTTTTATTATTTTACAATTTACGAGCGTGGATGTTTGTATAATATAGGAAGCGTTTCCCCGCTTTTCGCGCTTTCACCGCGTTTTATTTGTTCCTTGCGCGTTTCGAATTATGATCGAGAAACGCGGATATAAGGGACAAGGTCCCCTTGGTTTGTTCGTCACGATAATCGATGGGAAATTTCATAGTCCGCAAGTAGATGCAGACATTTCTCCGACGTCCATCGATGGTAAACACCATGGACACGAGACCGGCCACCATCAGATCCAGGAGCTGGAGGAGAGCCCAGGGCAAACTGTTTCGGATCTCACTAACAGAGGAAGACCAAGGTAATTTACCATTGCAATCTAAATACTTTAGTAATATTAGCTTCGATCATAAATTAAACCCAAACCATCGACCATCTTGTTTCAAATTTTTCTCCATCAAGATTTCTATCCGGATGCTAAGTTTAATTTAAATTTTCTGTAAAAAGAAAACTGTTTAGACGATTAATCGTGTCTAAGACAAGATCTGCTGGACAGGTCTTACCGAATAATCCATTAACATAGTCAAGAACGAACGTACAGAAATCTTTTCTTGCATAACGAACAAATTACTTATCATTATAAATCGGATAACATTTATTAGTTCAGAGTATTTTCATTTATATTATTTGAACGGCACCGAGGACAGAAATAATAAAGCTGAGAATGCGTTGCGCAAACAAGGAAAAATTGCATAAATTATTAGCAACGGTACACAAACTTGTTATTCGATCGACTTTTGAAAGGTCAGTTCTGACATTGCAAATTCGAAATGGTGCACAGCGAAAGGATCCTGCATCGTTCGTTGCAATTAACTGCTCTGGGGAATAGAAAGAGCACGAATTCCACGATTAATCACTTTGAAAATAATAACGTCGACGATAAATCCACGAAGTAATAATTGTGACTATTTTTACTCACTGACGTACCCCATTCATTTATTTCTTTCAAGCAAAAAATTGTATCTTCTCTTAAAAATAAATTTTTCCCCTCTAATTTTATTTTCTGTATATATGAAGTCAACCGTTGTGAGATTTATCTCTCCATCCACTGGATTTAATTACTTTCTCCCAAAAAATTAAAAACAATTGTTGACTGATTCCACGAGCGTCCAAATAAATTTTTAAACGAAACAAAATAAAAAATAAAAAAGATCCGTTAACGAACAGTCTATGTTACTATTATCTCTATCGTGTGTTTTCTCGATTTAATTCTTAATTAAATCATTGGAAGACTAACGACGGTTAAATTTGTCCGACACCTTTCACCGACAGGCGACATATATTTTTCCACGTATCTGGACGTTTCCTTTGGTTCTCGTCCTCCGTGTTAGCTGACACGTTTCCTCCTCTAACGACCCTTTCGACGTAAAACTCGCGGCGCTCGAGAAAGCACTTTAGACGGCCTGCAAGAAGGATAAGGCGCCGGGGGAAAACTGGTTCGTTCCGTGTACGCGAGTCTTCTGTGGTCGTAGTGACAAAATATGATTTCTTAGGTACGTCGTTGAAATGCCGCGAGTCGATTACCGTTATTGAATTTCATTAAAAGCCGCGTTAGAGCTGACGATAGAAGAGGACCGACGTGTTCCTTGCATACGCTCGAAGGTGCTACGTTACGCGGCATAAACTGCCACTGAGGTGTGGTCTGGAATGCAGCCACGTAGAAAACAACATTAACGAAAGACCAGTATATCGTCAATATGTAATTATTGTTATTAGTAACGATGGGCCAATTTCTATCCCAACACTCCACACATTTACGATCCTAGCTGTTTCTATACTATGTATAATACTTCATTTTAAATAAGAACCGTTCGAGTACTCGTAGAAACATTATTTGAATATTCATGAATTTTTATTACATCGTTCGAATATATTAAAATATTATCACCGAGGGGCTCTGTGTTAAATAAAATGTCCAGTATAATTGTAGAGCAAGAAATTTTGTGGATAAAAGTACGAAGTTTTACCCCAAAGTTTGAAACAAAAACAAAAAGTTTCCCCCTTTCAGTTGAAAAGTATCGAAGAGAATAAAATGGATTTAACAAAATCAGCCGAAATTTGAAAATGGAAATGATACGATAATGGTGTCGTCATTGTTAAAAACCCCTTGAGTAAAGTTACTGACGCTTGCATTAGCATTTAAGTTTTTTCAGCCACTGTTTCTCCTTGCATTGTTACCGCCTCTGCAAACGTGACGCAACTGCAAAGTTATTGCTTATAGGCATAATAAAACAGAAAATCATTGATGTGTTCGTGGAAACCCATTAAAATTGGAAATAATAATTTCGAAACGCTCGACAATATTTCAGATGATAGTCTAGGAGATCCTCAACGTGTCAACAGAAATATTCAGTGGGTCGTGTTTAGCAATGAGTCTTTCTACAAATATTTTAATGTCTTTCTGTGGTGAAATATAAACCTTGAGGAGGCTGTTTGACACTCAAACCGTTAAGTAGAAAAATTCGTAAAATGTGGAGAAAAGTTTATAGAAAGCATGCCTAAAATTGTCAAGAAATAATCACTAACGCGGGAGATTAGACCCATTATTAAACAAAACATATTTTTCTGATTTATCGCGTCCACACTCTTATCAAACAGACCTGCACATAAAATACGTTAAAAACCATGGATCTCGAACCATAATACAAGCGAATCCTCGAACGTCTGTTGCAGTCGTGGCCGCAGGAAGTCGCGCTGGAAGCTCAAGTTCCACCATCAAGCGCTGCCCCCGGAGTACCTGGACCACTACGAAGCGTCGCTGGCCCAGGAGGCCTTGAACTCGTCGCCGACGCACGTGGCGGAGCCGACAGTTCCTAGCCCAGCGCCTACCAGCTCGACTTCGACGCCCAGCCCCATCGCGGACGTGCATGGCTGGTTGCAACGGATCGCGGCGATGCAGCAGGAGCTCTGCCCCCAGATCTCATCTCCCCAGTGCCCGTCGTTGAACTCGACTCAGCCGTCGGGCTCCAGGAGGTCGGTGATCACGTCGACCTCCTCCCATGCCTACAACCCGAACCACCATAACCACGCTCAACAGCAATCCCAAGCGACCAGCAGGCCACCAATGAAATATTCGGATTTGCCCTACATGGGCGAGATCACGCTGGACAACAGCAAGCCTAGGAGAGGCAGGAAGCCCAAGAAGGCGGATATCTGTCACCTGATCTACAAGAACTACGGCACCATACTGCCTGGAACGCCTGGACACGAGGAGAGAAGACTGTCGCCCAGGGACAAGCTCGACTGTCGCGAGAGAGTCTCTCCTCAGATCCCGTTCCAACGAACGGACGTGCAGAACAGGATCAGCAGTTTGCTGGAGAAGAGGCTGACGCAGGAGTCCCGTCGAACGTTTGGTCTGATGGAGCACTCCAAGGAGCAGGACGAGCCTCTGAATCTCTGCATCAGGGACCTGAATCAGCTGAAGATCAGACTCCTGAGGAAACATGGGAACGTGTACGAGTCCGGTCACGTGAAGAGCGAGACGTCCAGCGACGGCGAGGAGGTTGAGTGCATAGGCACCACGTTCCCCGCGGAGCCTGGCTACCGTCCGGTGGACGCCATTAGTCGCGGGGGTGGTAACGTCAACCACAACAACAATATAATAGACCCCATGCTAGGCGGCAATCCCGGGTTCGTCTACTGGCCCAACGCTGGGGTGTTCATCCATCCGATGGCGCTCCAGTCGCAGCTCCTCTACTACCAAAAAATGGCCCAGAACGACAAGTGCTACCCCAGGGTCGTGGACCAGCCGAAGGAGCAGAAAATCGTCCCCAAGTCTCTCTACTCTATGATGGAGACCAAGAGTCCGCCGGTGATCCCGCCACCTGCTCAACCCACCTCGCAGACCGCCCCTGTGCCACCCCCCGTGTCACCCAGACCGAAGAGGAACGCTCCGGTCGGCCAGAGCCAGACTCAGCCGACCAAGAGGAAACGTTCCGCCATCTTCATTCCCCCGATGCCCACGGAGAACAACAACAACCCCGCGACGGAGGTCAGCATATGCAAGTTCAAGTTCACCGGGGGTGCGAAGCCCAGCCTTCAGGAGAAGAAGAGCCTGTCCGTGGACTCGGGGGGCAACTTCAGGTACTACAGCGGCACCGGGGACAAGAGCATGCGCGGCTACGAGTTCTTCCCCCGGGAGGCCCTGCAACAGTCGGCTGGGCAGTCCGGCTCCTCCACGGGAGCGTTCCTCAGCGCGGCTGGCGAGAGGATTCAGCCCGCTCCCTGCCAGAAGATCGCCAACCAGGACGAGGGTCGTCGCAAGAGGAAGACCCGGAAGTCCCTGCAAAGGGAGAAGCTCGAGCAGACGTTCAAGGAGAAGGGATTCCTCATACAGACCCAGCAGCTCGAGTCCGCCGAGGGCGCCACCTACTGCAAGTTCAGGCAGCTGAGGAAGTTCACCAGGTATCTGTTCAGAAGCTGGAAGGACTATCTTCCGGGCAATGTGCGCGAGTTGACCGGTGCCACGGACAGCGAAATCGTCGACGGGGACGCGGAGAGTGACACGAACGTGCTACCCTCGCCGGGTCCTCATTCAAACATGGTGGACGTGTCCACGGGGTTCGTCGACGATCATCGCGCGTTGCCTCTCACGTGAAACCGCGAGACTTATCACCCGAAGTGATATTGGTTTGGCCTTTACGTAATTTTTGATGGCATCGAGCGTCGAGGAGGATGCGACGCGATACGACGATTCGTGCGTTTAGGCGAACGCAAGAGGTTTTCAGTGATTTTCAAGATGGTCGATCTCGGATACGGCGGTCGCGTTTCGGGGAGCTGAGAGGGCAGGAAGGTCTCTGTTTTAGACCGTGTCTTGAACCGCCGTAGCCATTATAGTAATGATTCTTAAAATGAACATACGTGATTCGTAAAATGAACACACGTGATTCGTAAAATGAACCCCAGATGCGATCCATAAGTCGAACGTGTCCATCTCTCACAACCGAGATGATCAACTCCGAGAGTGTCAATCCCGTGTTCATCTTAAGAATCATTACCGTAATACTGATTTGCAACCTAATGGTTCGTAGAGCAGGGGCCTTACTTTTTATTTTCAGACGCTGCAGTTGCTTTGCCCGATTCGGGAACGAATGAAAATATATTTTAGAACGAAGTACCAATTAATGAAGAGTTTTAAATTTGATGAAATTTATAGTTTGGAATAGTAACATTTCATAAAAAAGTGAGTTAATCGATTTTGCAGCGATCGAACACGATCGTCTCGAAGGTATCTATTTTCTCGAATAATGCACACGTTTATAGAACGAAGAGGACAGATGCTGCTAAGAACGTTGAAATTTATTTTTGCAAACGTTACTTGCATTTACCGCATTCGATGGTGTCTAACTGCCTTATTACCGTATCGTTAGGAGTTCTCGCGCAATTTATACACGGGGACAAAGTGAAAGTACCAGTAATTAGAAGAATTTATGTCAGGGAGGTATTCGTCGTCTCAGAAATCTCGTTCGATACCGGAGTATTTATACGTCTTCTTTCTTACGAACGCGATTAAAAGTCGGCTATGTTAAACTTGCAAGACAATTCCCGTAACTTTCACCGTGTGCTCGCGATTAATAGACCGTTAATGTCATAATAGTTGAATACCAGTGCTTCATAACGCGCGTAAAATGCGCCTACGTGAATCGGGCCTACACACGCCGCGCTCCCTTCGAAAGTGATTATTTAATAATTTGTCGTCCGTGCGATGGGGTTAAAATATATATCCTGGACCGTTCGAGTATATAAAATTCTGTCGAATACGCGTTGTACGCTCGCTTGTCGATCCGCGAGCAACGATAGTCGAAATCGATCGAGAGAACTTGGGAAAGATTAATGGCGGCGTTACTGCCGTTTGAATTAATTTCATTAAGAAGCAAATATAGTACAAGGATTTTGTCGTCATCTCGCTTTATTAGCTACGCGGGCGTGTTGACTATCGTCTACGATCCTACGAAGAAGGCGGGAATAATAATGCACCTTGAACGAATCTGTCGACAATATGATCCAGTTGTTGTGCCACGCGATAGCCTCAATTACTATGAGCTCCAACGAATTGAACATGATCGTACAATTGCCTGTCGAGCATGGTCAACCGTAGCAATCTCGTTGCAAATTGCAATGAACGGTACCACGAGATCTACTGTTCGCTTCGAGGGATCGAAAATGCCGGTCGGTGAAATGGGATTGCTTGGTAATAGTATGTGATTTGCAGTTTGGAATTCGTCAACGTGAACAGTACCGTGTAGAATTCATTGGCGATCGATAGAAACGTAGCAATTCTACGCAAACTTCTAAGTAACTTTTTGTTATTGATTTTATATTATCAGCGAAGAATTCTAATACTGTCCGACGATAATTGACAGAAACGCGAAAGTGTTCACTGTTTGTCATTTTTTTTATAAACGTGTAGCTTGCTAGCAATCTATAAACACGAGTCGTGATAATCGTACACAAACCTATAAACTTCACTGCCATTGAATAATAACTCATATAAGGAAGTTGTGTAATTATTAACGTATACGAACACTGCTCGTTGATCGACGAAAGAACGTATTACTACGTGCCATTTATAGACCACTTCAAACGATCGAAAACGTAGCAGTTCGTTGTATGTTACTCGTCAACGAACGCAGATGAGTACAGTTGATATCACGTAGTAGTACGTTCTAGTAGACCGATAATACAAGTAAAACCAGTACGTGACGCCCAGTGATCTTTTTCTTAATCGAAGAAACAGACAAAATCATACAAAGTCGATCTATGTTTAATCCCGTTACAGGTTTACGCTATCTTTACGACGAAGAATTCTTGACAATAATACAGAACATTGAAACGATAATTTGCAAATATCGATGCACCAGACTAATCTTTAAACGCGTTAATAAATATCGTTACATTTTTATGAAATTCGATACTCTATATATAACGATTAAGTATTTATTTTCACATTAGAACGCTATCTTTACGACGAAGAATTCTTGAAAATAATACAGAACATTGAAATGATAATTTGCAAATATCGACGCATCAGACTAATCTTTGAACGCGTTAATAAATATCGTTACATGTTTATGAAATTTGTTACTCTATCCATAACGATTAAGTATTTATTTTCACACTAGAACGCTATCTGTGCGACGAAGAATTCTTGAAAATAATACAGAACATTGAATTTGCAAATATCGAAGCGCCAGACTAATCTTTAAACTTGTTAATAAATATCGTTCCATGTTTACAAAATTCGATACTCTATTCACAATAATTAAGTATCTATTTTCACACTAGAAAAATTGAAATTGATTTAAGTTAAATGTGTGGAATTGTTATGAGAAAGGTACTTTTGGTTTCGACGTCTCCAAGATGGCGTAACCCCAAGAGGGTCGTAAATCGGCAAGCGAGCATGGCGTTGTCGCGTAACGGTGTCTCGATCGATCGTTTGACGAGAAACAAAACGCTCGTTTAATTCTTGTTACAAGTGCTGTAATTAGTAACCGTATAATGGGAGCAGGAGCGAAAGAGAGGGAGAGAAAACAAGCATGAGATCGCGGCGACGCTATCGCCGCGGCGCGTTTTAATAATAATGTAAATTCGATCGTAGTTCCGTGCCAAAGATGGGAGACTGGAATGTACATAGCGCTGAAAGAACGTGTTAACCAAAGAGTGGTTTCGTGCTCACCGATTAGAAGCGGATGCGACGATAATCTGCGTTAAGGGACGCGAGGCGATAAATTCAGGTTTCTATCGGCTCGGCCAACCCCGGGGGACTCACCTCGGGCCCGATTTTGCAATGCATTTCGCGAGGTTCGCGCCTCGCACGAGCGAAAACGGAGATAGCGAGCGTGAGAGAGATCAAGACTCGGAACACAAGAGAATAGAAAAATGTAGAAAGAGGAAAAACGAGCGATGTTATCATATTATACACACATACATACATATATATATTTTTTTTATCGTAAGTTACACGCGAATTATTTAATAACGCCTAACGAAATCTAGTCTTATTTATACTCTTTGTTAAATCAAAAGCCGTGTTTTTCTTTTTTTTATTATTATTATTATTGTTCGAGAGCCTCCAGTCTTGCGCCGACCAGTCTTCGATTTTTATATCTTGTATGCTTCGACGTTGATTTCTTCGACATTACGATTAATTAAAGACGGTTCAAGTCTCGATTTAAATTTTGATAAACGTCGAACTTTCGTACGTTTGCTTGAAATTGTTTAAAGAATACACCAAGAATAACATCCGGTCGAAACGTGCAAAATGTATGAGTCTGTTTGCCCAAGGCTGGAGACCCTCGAATCTATTATTATTATTATTATATAGCGATTTATTTATGCACGCGTACGCCGTGCAGAATTGCGACGAAAGTTTGAATGTATCGAGAAGGAATCGTGCCTTTTGCGCGCGTATCGAAGACGTGGACGGAGCGACGATGTCCGAGACACTGTTGGACGACGTTGGCGAACGTTTGGAAGCGCGAATGAAACGATCGTACCTGAGGTTCGGCGAATCGTGTGCTTCGAAAGGGACACGCTAAAGTATATTCGCGAATTTCTCGTTTCCAACGCGTTTGTCGCGTCTCCATTGTCGTCGACCAAGCTCCGTTGTACGAGAATAGAGGCGCTCGAACGATGATCGCGTCGAAATAACGAGAGAAGGTGCAACAGGAACCGTCCTATATCCGTATCGTTATTATCCTGTGCAACGACACGTAGAATTTTTTACGTATTGCCGATTGTAAATTGATCAATTCTTATAGTCTGTAATAATAAAGCGTAATTGTTACTGATATTTCCACTGTTCTGTTGATTGACACTGAAAATTCAGAATTATTATTATAATTCCCTCGCGTTGAAAGATTCTCTGAAAACTAGGGGGAATAGAAATTAATTTTTATAGCAAAGAAGCAGACCTTTCGAGGTTTGGCTTTGTTCGACGACGAAGTAGGTGGTCGGAAACTTTTAGCCAGTAATGCATATGCATGATGCGGAAGATTCTTCGAAACTTCATTAAACGTCCTCCGACGGTTCCATTGATACATTGATGGGTCGGAGGATCCGTGTGCATCGCGATGCAGCTTGCTCGGGCACAGGTACACGAATGCACACACTGTCAAACCACACAGAAAAGGGACGAGGATGCGTGTGCACGCACTCCACACGACCGATCGGTCTCTGGCTCGGTGCGTACAGCCAACCATTCATGCATACGCCCATTCATACGTCTCTCTGGCTCACCTTGAAGACTTTTTATCGCTGGTCGATGTGGACGAGGCTATGAAGCGGTGCAAAACCATCTCCGTACAGCGCTCTTCCAGAGAAGAATATTATCACAGCGAGCCTCCGTCGAACCGAGCTAATCGAGAACTTGAATTTTGGGGACCAAAATGGCGGACCAAACCTCGTCCATCAGAAATTCTCGAGCATCTTTGTCACGCCATTTTGCAGCGGGGTGGTCCGTGCGTTCCTGAAAATGTTTGGTAGTCTATAATAATTGTTCTCTCGAAGGGAGCTGTTGAATTAATATTCGAACGGGTGATTGGAAAAGGATAAATGGGAAATAGAGAGAAAAATTCTGTTTTTGTTTTCAAAACTCGCCAGAAAGATTAAAAATATATTTTGCTAGTTTCCCTCTTGAGAGTTTTGCGTGATTGGTCCTCGAAATGGTCGTGAATTTGACGTCGTGCGCGATTTTTCCAAGCAAGCACGTGTCGTCGTCGGCGTCGCCGTTCAGCGCGGAGCGCACAATGACTACAGGTTTCCTAATACGGTCTCTCGCCGTGGAACCCGATGAAAAAAAGAGGAATTTTGGTCACCATCGGGGGCCTGGGAAGGAACGTCCCGCGTTAGATGCCGCTGGCACCAAAGTTTCATAATCAACCATCGACAGCTTCGACGCGAAACGCTTATTTACCATCTCGAATCCCTTCGATTCGTCCATCTTCGTTTTCTATCAAAGCGTCAGAATTGCTCAAGATGCGCTAGCTTTCACTCTGAAAATAAATAAAATGAAATCAAGAAGATACGTTCCACTTTTGAGGAAAAATTAAGCAAGGAAATATTCATCATCCGTTCCTTAACGTTCCATGGATCAAGATTTGGATATTGGAGAACATTCAAAGGGACGAAACCATAGAATATTCGTAATTTTTAATCAAATTTACGCGACTGAATTTTTGAAAATTTAATGCAATGCAACGATTCATAGACCGACCCAATCCTTAAACTGGTTTGCAGAAAATAATATCCCTGATGTCAATCCTATTAAAAATTTGTCGAAAATTTCATTTAGGTGAATGTTCTCTAATAATACAAAATTTGCAAATATACAAGAATTAAAACGTGCTATAATTGAAGCCTGGAATAGTATACATAAAAATATTATTAAAAAACCTTATTGCAAGTATGCAAAATTTAATTTTCGATATAATTCATAGCGGTGGAAACGTAATGAATTACTAAATTTTTGTTTAAAATAAAATGAGTTTTGTTTACAATTGGTATATTTATGAAACACATATTAAATAGTATTTCCGTCATTTAAATTATTAATTACTGTTATAGCTCAATTTATTTCCAAAGGATGAAATTCCTTACATTTTTAGGGGTTGGTATATTTATGATACGCACTGGGAGTACTATGCTTGAAAAATAAATGCAAACCACGGGTATTCTTCGTCGCTGGAGGCGCGAACGAAGAATTCGAGTTTCCCCTGGCGCGTTATCCGAGATGTCCTGGCGGGACACGGAACGCGCGTGACAAATTGAAGTTTTTCGCGAACGAACCTGTCTGTAGAACGTGAACCTGTCCTACCTTCGGCAGAACCAGCCGCCCCAGCAGTTCGCTCTATCAGATCTCTGCTTGTTGGGTTCGCGCTCGACACGATTCCGTGGTTGCTATCTTCCTCGCGTCTCGCCTCTAGCGTGGAGGCGCACCTTAAATCGCCGATTTACTGAACGCGCGAAATCCTTATCTTTTTGCGGTATAAGGCGCTGCTTCCTAACCCTTTTCACGTCGCCTGGCAAACGCTAACACTTGCACGACAGAGTTTATTAAATAGCAGAGATTAGGCCCGATATTCCTGCGATCATAGCACAAGTACCTCGAGCCAGCGAACATTAACGAGGGATTCACAGTACTAACCGGAAAGTGGACGATTCTTCGTGTAGAAACACCTTTCACGATCTATGGAGACGTAGTGCACACGATTAATTGTCTTGTGTATATTTAAAAAGCTAATTGAACGGAGGCTATATTGTTATTATTGTACCAGAAGTGTAAATTCTGTATCTGTATTCTGGAATGAAATAGTTATTCAACGAAGGACTACTTCTACACAATTTGATATAAATCAAGACATGTTATTGATTAGTTGCAATTATAATAGGTAGGTGGTCCACATAGTTTTTTAAAATTATTTACGTTTAACATACAGTTACTCTCCATTTGTATTCGTACACTCTAATGGTGATTTGCTAAAATGAAAAGAAACTTTCTTATGAATTCTTTCTATTTACCAGATGTTGCTTATTATACCTGTGTTACTTACTTCTCCATTTACAAAGTAGTTTAATCTCAGTACTGTATTCAATTTATTAAAATTCAAACCCTTAGGTATCTTAATGTATGAGCAAGTGGACACCAGATTCAAAAACAAGCTTTTTTTCATTTATAGTGAATTACAATTATAGCAAACAAATACTAGTGAAACTGTATACATTTAGTAGTTTAATCTCAGCACTGTATACAATTTATTCAAATACAAACCCTTAAGTATCTCAATGTATGAGCAAGTGAACACCAGATTCAAAGACAAACTTTTTTTTCATTTATAGCGAGTCGCCATTATAGCATATGAATACTAGTGAGAGTAACTGTATAAATTTAGTAGTTCTTGGATTCATTTAGTAGATCTTAGTACTGTATTTAATTTATTCAAATACAAACCCTTTATCTCAATGTATGAGCAAGTGGACACCAGTTTCAAAAGCAAGCTTTTTTTCCATTTATAACGAATCACAATTATAGCGTATGAATACTAGCGAGAGTGACTGTATGCATTTAATCGATTGGACATACGTGAACGT